TCTTTCCCTGTCAGGATGTGCAAGGTTCCTTTATGGGATGCTGGGGCCATGTTCTCTACCACTAGTGTTTACAGACGTGTCAGTTCCTGCACTTCTGTAGTGTGGGGGGTGTTCCCACTTGCCTGGCTGCAGTCCCTGCCTGTGGGTGTGCAGCCCTGCCCTCACCTCTGGCAGCGGGAGTAAGGCTCTGGGGGCTTGGGGATCGGCTCCTGGAGTGTCAGGTTCTGCCTGCAGGGCCTGAGTAGGTAAGCCCAGAGCCCTCTTGGGAATAGCCGATGCAGAGTGTGCTCGTGGCATCTGCTGACAGGCCCAAGTGCCTTGCTCTCAGCTCAGCCAGCTGTGGCCCAGCCTGCCCAAGGGTCACGGCTCCAGGTTCCTTAGCATAAAGATGAGCAGCACGACTCTCCCTGGCCCGGGTGAGGCTGAGCATTCAGCTTCCATCCTCTGGGGGCCTGGGCCTGAGGTGATAGGAAGGCATTTGTGAGCAGCTCCAGGAGCAGCCTCTTTACCATTGCTGCTGAGGTGGAGAAGAGCCAGCGAGACTGGCGGTTGGAGGGGGAGGTCAGAGAGAACCTCCAGAGGTCACATCCAGTCTGAGCCCAGCCTGAGGCAGGATCAGCCCTGTCCAAACCAGCCCAGACAACCATACTTTAAACTCTGCATAAGACTGCCTTAAACCCTGATGCACCACGGACCTAACACCAGAGCCTGCCACAGGTAAAGCAGCCAGTGTCCTGCTTCTATAAAAAGTTATCAATATACGCTCAAGAGGTCTTGGGAAGGGCATGTCCCCTGCTGTAGAGGAAGGCAGTGCCCCCTGCCCCCAGTCTGTACCATCTGACCACGGGGGAAAATTCCTTTCCACTCCCAAATGTGGTGTCAGTCTGACCCTGAGCAGAAGGGTAAAACCCTGTAGCCAGGAAACTGACTTTGGGCCCAGCAGGAGCATTGACTCAGCTCAGTTAAAGTCCCCAGCCTGGGCTGCAGCCAGCACCCAGTGCCTTGGGGAAGATCCTAAAAACATCTTGACACGTAGCAGAAGCAGGGCTGGGAGGGGAACCAGCAAAGCCCAGAAACAAGGGAGATGCCTATAGTAGCACATAGGCGTCACTATGCCTAGATTATCCCTGATCAGGTGCTGTCCAACTGTTGCTTGAACCCCTCTGGTGATGGAGAATCCAGCTCTTCCCAGCCATCTGTTCCACTGCCTCACTACTCCTACAGTGATGTTTTTCTAGTTATCCAGTTTAAACTTACTTTGCTGCAACTTCCAACCACTGGTCTGCATCCTCCTCTCTGCAGCAAAGCAGTAAAGGTGCTTTTCCTCTTCTCCTTGGCAGCCTTTCAAGTTTTTGCAGGCTGAACATGCCCAGCTCCTTCAGCTTCTCCTGATCTGACTTGCCTTCCAAGCCCTCGATCATTTTTTTTTTTTGCTGCCCTGGACCTTCTCTACATCCTTTTTAAAATGTGGAGGCCCAAACTGCACACAGTATCCACGTGAGGCCTGACTAGTGTTGAGTAGAGAGGTATGATCACCTCCATGTCTTGCACCTAATGCATTTGTCCACACTGAATGTTATCCTGTTAGCTCTAGCCTAACTTTCCAATTTGCTGAGAGCTGGACACCTCAGAGAAACATAAATGTTGTCCACACAAGGTGGGAGTCATTGTTCACTCCTTATCTGGAACGCACATTGGGCCTGTCCCTGGAGTCCTTTCCAAACAGGCTGGAAGCAGCAGCCATGGCCCAGGGTGGAGACACCCCAAGGACAATGCTAACATAGGGGAGGAAGGTGGAACAGTGCTGGGAGCTTGTTGTTCTCATAGTTTCATAGCAGTTAGGGGTCAGAAGGGACCTGAATAGATCACCTAGTCTGACCCCCTGCCACTGGTTGGAGCACACGCTGGGATCACATGACCCCAGACAGGTGTTCACCCAACCTCTTTTCGAACTTACCCAAGGTAGGAGCAAGGACCACTTCCCTAGGAAGTTGGTTCCAGATCCTAGCTACCCTGACAGTGAAATAGTGCCTCCTAATCTCTAACCTGAACCTATTCTCTAGCAGCTTCTGGCCATTGTTCCTCGTCACCCCAGGTGCTGCTGGGGGGGAATAGGACCCTTCCTATTTGCTACTGATCTCTCCTGATGAGTTTGTAGGCAGCCACCAAACCCCCTTCAGCCTCCGCTTGCTGAGGCTGAACAGGTTCAGGGCCCTCAGCCTCTCCTCATAGGGCCTGTCCTGCTGCCTTGAAAAAGAACTTTTTGCTGTCCATAATCCTGGACGCTAGCCTGAGTTCCATCTCTGCCCTGGCATTCCTAATAACCCGCTGGTGGCTCATGTTCATCTTGGAGGCAATAATGACTCCAAGATCCCTTTCCGCCTCTCTGCTCACAAGGGGGGGAGCTCCCCAGCTTGTATGTGTGCTGTGGATTCCTTCTCCCCAGGTGCAGCACCCTGCACATATCCACACTGAAACCCATCCTATTACCATCTGCCCACTTATGTAGTCTGTCTAAATCTAATTGCAGCCTCTCTTCCCCTTCGAGCATGTCTACCTCTCCCCACATCTTGGTGTCATAGGCAAACTTGGACAATGTTTTTTTCTAACACATTTCTCATCCAAGTCGTCTAATTTATCGTCCAAGTTGCTGATAAAGAAATTGAACAGTGCAGACCCCAGGACCGAGCCCTGGGGGACCCCACTGCCCACATCCTGCCAGGTCAAGTAGGACCCGTCCGCCACCACTCTCTGGGTGCGCCCCATCAGCCAATTTTTGACCCATCCAACTGTGCAGGCATCAATGCCACAGCCACTCATTTTATTGATGAGAATGGGGTGAGAGACAGTGTCAAAGGTCTTCTTAAAGTCCAGAAAGACTACGTCCACGGTGACACCATCATCCAGGGATTTAGTTACCTGGTCATAAAAGGCCATCAGGTTGGTCTGGCAGGACCTGCCTTTGATGAACCCATGCTGATTGCCCCTGGGCATGATCTCCCCTGCTGGCCCCTCACAGATGTGCTCCTTGATAATTTTTTCAAGGATTTTCCCCAAGACAGATGTGAGGCTTATGGGCCTGGTGTCTGAGCTCTTGTTTGTGCACTCCCCAGAAGGGGATGAGGAAAGCAGCAACCAGAGGGTGGGGGGGGGGCCCGGGAGGTGTCACGTGGATTGTCTTGCATGGAGCTGTTTGCACCGCTGGGCCCCAGACTGCCTGGGCACAGGCAGGAGGAGCTCTGCAGGCAGAGCCCAGGGGCTCTCCTCTGCTGCCGCATCAAGTGGGCAGGGCCAGGGTGCGCTTGACTAGGGCAGCAGGTGCCCCAGTAATGGGACCAAGGGATCTGTATGACCAGACCATCGAGTCATGTCACACTTCAGCAGTGCAGGTTTCTGGGGGCTCCTTCAGGGAGTGGGACAGTTCCCTGTCTGCATGCAGCTGCTCGGGGCCTGGCAGGGGCCCCCGTCTCCACCTGTCTTGGCTCCCCCCACAGCCCCCTGCCCAGGAGATGCAGCAGAGTCTGGGGACAGTTGCCTGGACTGGGCTGGCACTACCGCAGCCCTTGCCCCAACTCGGCTGCCAGGACCCACACCCTGTGCCCAGTGGGTGGATCCAGACCAAGGCCACATGGGTGACTCAGCAACTTTATTACGTTTCTCTTCCCGATACGAAACCCGAGCAAGCAAGGCAGGAAGGCTGGCAGGGTAGGCCAGGGCAGCCGGTGCCCTCAAACCTGCGCTTACTCCCATGAGGCTTTTCTTAAGACACTTGTCCAGGGAAGGTCTCAGCCACATCCAAGGCACTAGGGAAGGCCTCAGAGATGAGCCAGTGGGGACAGAGGAGGCACAAGCATCACATGTGACAATACAGAGACCAGCAAGGTGGCTTTGGGGCAGTGCAAACACATCAGGGCTGCAGGTGGGCCTCCTCCTGGAAACCATGGTGTCTTCACACAGCAGGCAGAGGCATCCCCCAGGCAGACAGGCACCAGTGCCAAGGGAGGCATTCCCGTGCACACGCATGCTCTCACTCACACAGACACACTGTGCAGCCAGGATACTGCTGGGCATTGTGGAGACACCCCCCCCCCCCCCCCCCCC